AAACATCATATGATATCGAGAAATCGAACATCCCCTGGGTTTAGTCCTAACAACTTACTCATAAAGTTGCTGGAAACCCACGATCGATTTGCCCTGTCTGCGGTTCATCAGGTAGGGGCAACCCCCAAGATTCCGTCAAACTTATATTCCGCTTGAACCCAAATTAGACGAAATTAGCGAAGTACTATTTTGGTTTTTACGGTAGACTCAAATGAAACCTAGCTGAAGAATAACATCGTAAATGAGAGATTCAGCTGGAATTCGCTTGGGTCTCCCGCGAAAACCAAATGAATATGCAAATGAGTGAAATACTTTGGGGTTTTTTTATGAAAACGCTTCCCTCAGCTAGCCTTTTTCGTAGATATACTGAACTTATGTGGATTGGATTTCTTCGTCCGTTTTAATAGTACACGCGGGCTGCTTTAGCCGATGCTCGTTAGGTCCATCGCTGTCATCGAACCTTTAGCCGTCCCCGGCATTAACCGACAAATCCTTTTGACGTACCTGGGACAGGCTGTTCAACCTAATGTGAACCATTACTTGAGTAGGTTGGTGGCCTGCTTCCCGCTTTCCATTCTGAAACGCATGTACTTGTAAACCACTTTTTCTTTGTGCAGGACATCGGAACTTGTGCAATCCCATCGCAATAGAGAATAGGGAGTTTCAGCCGTAATACTCACTTACAATATGACTACTGTTTAAAATCCATGCTTCACCGCTCCGTAAACGGTCTTTTTGTTGAACAGGTAGAGGGCTGTCCAGAATCTTTCATCGACTTTATATGTGGTATCGTATCAATAACAATCAATCTTACACTACATGTTCGACTTCATTGTGGGTTCATGTGTGCTAATTCTTGGTCCACTGATATCCACGCACTAGAAGCCCTAAGTTAATCATTCGTCGAACTTATAAAAAGATAGGATAATGTGGAGCAGCGTTTTCTAGTTCCCAGTTCCCTGCTCATTCGTTAGCCCACGGTGAATAGAGGTTTGGATGCTGAGCCAAGGATACAGTTGGTATACTTTACATTTGGAACGCTCATGCATTTTCTGTCCAAATGTGACCTTCGTACATAATATATTGATAGTCCATAGATTGAAGACTATTTTTACCCCCATTCCTCTTTGTTTATACAAACGGCGTTTGGACCTCATCCTCGCCAATAAACACAGCTGCAATCACCACGGGTGATTCCAGTTGGTCCCTTTCGTATCATAGGATTTTTGCGGATGTTTACTTAAAAAGACGGCAAAACCTGGTGCCCGTTCATATGAAGAAAGTCTATAAAAGAGCAACCAAGCTACGCGAGTGCATGTGCCAACCTTCGTCGTCATTTGCATAGGAATCAATAATACTGCTGTTTTTGGGTCAGTTGTCCCCAGTTAGGTAACATTCTCAGAGAAAACGAAGATCGAAAGGGAGGACACGGCGAACAAAAAAATCTAGCATTTTCAACATTTCTGGGTCAGTCCGTTTTTCCCTAACGGTCAAAACAAGACGGTTGGCCTGCAAATCATTTACTCAGGAAAGGTAACCTAGTATTTTTTTTACATTGGCCTCCCTTAAGGGGACATGTGGACGTTGTGTAGGCCACCAGATCCTTACATCTTTTTTTAGTTGTCCTGCTTGAGACTTAGTTATGTGTTGCTTTGACGAAAAAGTGGAGCAAAAACAGCCACATTTTGTGGGCGTGACGCCTGGTGGGAACATTCCGGGTGTCGCACTGTAGCGGTTCATTGCGTAGGTTGGAAAATCCTAGTTTATAGGCAGTCGTTGTTTTATCTACCCCCGAGGATTTTCCACATAGGTCACCACGTTTAATTGACTGGTGGTCGCCACAAGTCTGTTTTCCATCAACTGCCGCCAAACTTTCGAAAGCTGCCTTCTCCGTTCAGGGTTGTAGTCGGAAGGGAACAGTACAAACAGTAAAGTGTGATAAATTTATTGATGGTCATGTGACGTGGTGGTGACCGCACAGTGTGATGGTTCATTTCGCAATCAGCGGTCAGTTAAGTAATTAAGTCTATGTGGAGGCAAACCTTTCTTATGATTTTCAGGATTGTGTGAGATCTTCACATGTTCGATGGTCACATCCGATGTTCACAAATATCTGCGTGGTAATGTACAGATATAGCCAACTGGTTCAGCGAAGCAAACGGCTGCTCGGGTAATATCTGAAGGGCAAGTAGCTGTATTTTTGAAAAAATGTGGCTACTGATTTACCCTGTTTGCAAAAATCTGACCACTCAGCTCGAACACTAAGGATACTTTTAGAGTGGTCTGTAACAGGTCCTTCTGTCTAACCTTTTCATGAATGAGCTAAATCAACCATCCTTGAACCAAAAACTCCTTGAAGTAGTTGCTACAAACAATTGTTTGAACGCACAGTTTTTAACTGTCCAGATCCTCGACCTTCTCTGTGCATGGCTCGCTGCGGCGTACGGCTGCCGAACAATGTCAACGATAATTTCGCCACTCATTTCTGCTTAATTGGGACACCATAGTGTAAGAAACAAATGTATTCAGGAAAGCCGAGAAGCATTGCACAGCCGTTTGGAATTACTACCGATACACATCTCAGGAATGACTGGAATGGCTGGGCAGCAGTGTCATAGAAGCGTACTTGCGCGGGATGGAGGCCATTCACCTTCCAGTCAGGTGACGACAGGCTTCTTCAATAGCTTCATATAATCTAACTGAGTTTCAACCTGACGACATCTCAAGATGCTTCTTATTGACAACATTGGATCATTTCCCCATCCGCTTGGTAAATGAACCGATAGCTGATCCAACGGTTGATTTGCAGTTGGTGGCCGTCCGGTTAAGTGATGTGAGCGTCTATGCTGAAAGTTGGTACTGGCCAAAAACAGTTTATGAGCAGCACACAACTGGAGGAGTCGCTCTGCGTTTTCTCTGTGACATGCATCTACTCCGGATCGACCAGCCAAATGTGGTTCCAAGGAGCTCAGACGACAGACTTGTACATTCATATCGCCCACAAGGGTCACAATGTCAGTGCTTCTTGCTCGACGCATTAACCTGGATAGATCTCGATAGAAAGCATCCTTATCAGCATAAGAACTGCAGTCCGTTGGGGCATAAGCCGACACTACAAACAGGCACCGCTTTTTATGCTGACAGGCATTGAGCTTGATTGAAATGGATAACCGGACGGCGCAAAGATTGTTCACTGGTATCCAATCCAGCAAAGCGCGTTCACCTCTGGGGCTGAGTGCAAACCCTACGCTATATATTCCAGGAGTCATCGCTTCTGGGTCACAGGACACACGGAGGGAGAAGTGTGAAAGAGCTGAGTTAATCGTTGGCGTTCTGAGAGGCATAACCACGCTCGGGTCTTGTATGCGTGTTTCGGAGACAGCTTACATCGCTTTTAAGGCAGTACAAAGTTTCAGCAAGCATTGCCTGTTTGCCAATTCGATATAGAGTACGGACGTTAAAAGCTCCTAGTTAGAAACGATCTCATGGATTTAGAATTATTTTATTTTGTTTATTTTTAATAGACAGCGGGCCTATGGCCAGATGACTGATAGTTAATTGACCCAACAACGTGTACCTGTGTGAATGGGTTGGTGGATTTAGAAGGATGTTATTTTGTTTATTTTTAATAGACAGCGGGCCTATGGCCAGATGACTGATAGTTAATTGACCCAACAACGTGTACCTGTGTGGTAAAAATGGGTTGGGAAAGGACATCGGTGGACACAGAACTCTGTGGACAATTGATACTTCCCGGTTGCCCAGACCGGGGACAGGGGTTTGGTTGAGGTACTCCACCTTGAGCCTCTAACTTTCGACCCACGAAACTGGGAAAATGTAGGGTCTTTTTCGGTACCCTGCCCGGAGCCGATGGCTCTTTATTTTTAGAAGTATTTCGACCGTATCGGATAGTGGCCGGGTGGTCACGGTCAACCGTTTGGAGATCGGATTGTGCGGTTTTTCTGGCCGACCTTTTCGAACCCCTCCTTCGGAGAAGGCCGTATTTTGCTTCTCTGAGTATAAACATGCTAGTCGTCTGGAGGAAACACCTAATGCCTTCACACGTCTATCGCAGAAGACAGTACGACTTTACCCTCAGACCGCCTCGTAGCACGACTATTCGTAGTACGCGGCCTCGTTGTTCTTGGTCTAACTGCTCCTCTTTGGCCGTCCTGGCATAGTTGCACCCTGTGGAACGAAGTTCCGGCCAGTGTAGCCCACGGGACGATTGAAACACTTAAGGCCAACCACGGCGTCAAGGTATCAGCCCTGGGTCGGATTGTGGTAAAGTTGGGGTAAATTATGGTAATGTTAGGTAAACTCATGGCCTAATTAGTGAACCTTTTCTGCATGCGAGATTCAGATTCGGACAAGCTGTATCGATAGCATCTCGACTGTCGCCACCCTGTCCTATCCGATTTCTGTACCGCGCGGCTGACTGATGTCGGAATGTCTTGAATAGTAGCCAAAAACTGTCCTCCGGCGTTTGTCATTCTCCCACATTATGCGAACTTGGCACCAACTGAGCCTTTCAGTTATCTATATTTAAACCTTCTGAGATACTCCTCTTTTTCTGGGTGGCCGTTGTTTTGCTACAGTTCAAGCACAATGGAGCTAACAGATAAACCTCCGCTACAGTGAAGCAGTATTCGCAATGTCGGATGCTGGCCTTCCTCAGTCGTTTTTATGAGGCACCTAGCTCCTTGTTTATTGTATTCCTAGCTAGACAGTTATTCCGTTATGGTTGTCGTTCTCTCGTTTGCAAACGATGGATGCTGCCCATTGCTACATTTAACCCAGGACTGGGAGCAAAAAACGCAAGTTGTGGTGTCTTTGCGAACAGTGGCGTATTGTTCCTACCGAAGTGAATGCTACTGATAACTGGCTGATCGCCACAATTGTACAAGTCCCATTCTTTCTGTTTTTATATCTGTTTTACTTGAAAGTTACCCAAACAATTTTCGTGCGTAACTCTCAAGTTGCCTCTTTTGCATTTTCAGAAAACGAATCTATGGCTTTCCGTTCGAATACAATGGCCACTAAAGCAGTTGAGTGCTTTTTGAAAATGGCTGGTTCCACTGTAAGTTGTGACGGTCATTTTTATGCAGTTGCTCCAACGGTCGACCATTCGTGTGATTTGGTCGTGACGTTTTTCAGCCCTCTGTCTTGGGCTCAGCACAGTGCTCGTCCTCAGTCGATTTTGATTTTTGTCACTATCTGTATAATTACACCTTCAGCAGTCTATCGTTACTCATTGGTGTCAAGCGAAAACCATTGATTCTTTATATTCGGTTTACAGTTGACGTAAATTCATTCGTCATCAAGTTTACTTTTGCTTCGCTAGCTGTACTTCCCCAGGACACAACGCACAGTGTTGTCATGGTAGAGCCTGCAGGGGATCTGTATCTGATTGGGAACCTCGTAAAGGTATCTCCGAGGTTAGTTTAAGAGGCAACCCATGGGAATGGCTACGAAAATTTCATCAAGCCCCGAATGTTTTATCCTATTGGAACTTATAAAGTACAGTGATCAATATTCCAGCTTAATTCCTCAGCTTTGGTAATCCTGGAATGTCGCTAGTCTGACCAACTCATTCAACTGACCGGGCTTTCACCGGCGGGACTCAGTTGCACAGTACACGGTGCGTGATACGCTCCGATAAGTACTTCTGCTACCGGAAACTTAATCATTTAGGGGGTGGGTTGGCATACGCATCATTTATGATGCTTTTGGGTGTTCATTTGTTTGGCCGCCTTGAAATAAATGACATCACAACATACTCCATTGTATCCAGCTCTGGAACTGGTTATTCAGGTTTTCCCGTTGATATGACCGTTTAACATTGGCAGGGTGTTTATCCTTACACGCTCGGTGCTACTAGACGACGGGCAGACCAGTGGTAGCATAAATGGTCTCAGAATTGAATTGCCGGTCCAATTCATGAAGAGCTGTCACTGACTGCTTTACCGGGTTGTCTCACACCGAATTCTCTTCACTGAAATCTAACATGAACAAGGAACTAGGATGTTCTGTATATGCTTGCACCTTGTTAATGATCATGATGGATCTGTGCTGGGCGTGTTCCTTAGACTTACCTTGTTTACTATGGGAACCCTACTGTGTGCGGTATTGTATCTACTTGGCTCAATGTACAGTATCATGTGATGCACATTAAGTGTTTGGTAACTATAACTTTCTACACATTCGCTGTATTTATTCATTTTCAAGTAAGTATCGCAGCGCACTCCATTCACGGGGCCCCTTGATGGTTGCTCCGAACTCGTACAGATCATTACATTCGTGGATCGATCTTCAGTCCAGCAATTGTTCACCCATTCGTTTTTCAGATACAACTTTTCTATCCGTAATTTGACCAAGGCAGCGATGTGTGACTTCGTTTTCGTTCTTTTTCATACTGTCTACTATCAACGAGTGCAGCGAACTTCACCATTTATTTCTTGAGGGTCGATTTCTTAGAATTGTCGTTGCTACCTCCAGCAGTTACTTTTGTCTGTCCTTTATCCTACCTCTCAGACACCGAGTCTGCTTTTTGTCGTTGTTCCTACCCCTAATTTGTCTAATTAACAATCCGTCCACTAAAACTGCACACCGTGTTACCTTCTGTTTCAGTATCTGCACGACCTGCTGTATCGCCTTGTACAAAAAGTGTTGGCTTGCCTAACTGCGTGGGAAGTAAATCCCGAGAAATTGTCGTCCTCAGCTATCGCCTCCGGATCTCTAACAATTGGCGACACAGCCACATTCGCCAAAACCGGTTCTATAGGCTTTTCTCCACCCAGTGGTCGGCCATTGCCGGGTAGTCTGCTAGGTAACCAGATCCTGTTGCTTCACCATCTAAACGCGGTTTGGCGAGCAATTCAATCCAGCTTACCACAATTTCCAAGGTTCGTTTTGTTTTTTTCTACGGTTCATTCCAAAAGACCACAGGGATCTGCCGTCTGTCATCACGGCGGTGTTTCGCATTATTGCTTCCTAGCTGTGTGCGGAAAGTTACCCCGACCAAGTGGTAGGATTAAGTATAGGCTTCTTTCCTCGAGAACATTTTTTTGCTTTTGAAGTTGGCATATTTTTCATCGGTTGCATCTATTTTATATCAGTCCGGCCTAACTAGAAAGACCGTTCTGTTGCATCTAAATTGGGTAGTTTCACTGCTCATTCATTTTTTGAGGGATAAGTACCGTTGTCAAACTTACTTTCTGAATCAGTTTTCCTCATTGTGGTCGACAACCTAGCGCTCTTTTATTGTGCACTTACGTACACAATGCAATTTGAAAATATACTCGTGTAGATGATGCACGATAATCACGAAGATATCACACCAGTCTTGACGACTCTAATTTCTGCTATGTCGTTCACAAGTAAAACCACGTATGAAGTTCCACTGGTACCCGTTCGCCTAACATATCAGTCAGCTGCACACCACACCTGATGCTTTGTACTCTTGTCGGTATTCTAGCGAATGATGTCAGGTCTGAATATTCCATGGATGGTGCATTTAGAAACTGCCCACCATCTAATTTCAAATCTGTGGTGCGCTGATTAGTTTAGTTTAATATTGTTTTTTCAATGATCACTTTGTGCGACCCTTAAGATCGTATTGAAATGCGGTGCGGTATTGCCCTCTGTCGTCAAGCCTTCTTCAGTTGCCTACCTCTGATATTCAACCTTTCCATTTGACCTCTTCTAACAAATTCAGTGCCTTGGAGCACTTCTTGCCAAGGCCAATCAGTCCGAATTCGCAACAGCTCATGAGATCAAGAATAACGCGATGGCACTGCACAATTTATAAATCCTTAGATCAAACAGATTGATGAGAAATATCTTTAAACCATGCAGACGCTATTAATTCCGCAGAAAATACCTTTATTTTAATTATTCACATGAATATCCTGTTTCGCTTGTGAATGGTTTCACCTCATCCTCCGATTGTATTATCTTGGCAGCTGTTTGATGCGGGTGTTCTGCTCCTTTCGGGAAACATTGGAACCAACACATGGACCTGAATTTTGTGACAATCTCATATCGGCTTGTATTTTTCTGCGTCTGATATGCCCGGCTTTATTATCACCTTCACTGTTCGGGTTAGTGAGTGCCTTTCCTAGTGAACCATCTTGCCAACGAAATCTGACACTTCTGGCCAAATCTCTTCAATCCTTGGCGAATTTCTCGGCGTTTGACGATAAAGTAAGTGCTCTGACCATCACTTGACCCTATTTTTCCTTCTTCCCGTTTTCATTTCGAATTTTCCGCATTAACAGGAGCCTTATATGCGATTTCTGAACGGATTCGTTTCTTCTCAAATGTCTGCCATGCGTACTTTTATACGAAATATTTCCACCTGGCCAACCCTTACCGGACGAACCGATGACCCAGACACTGTGAACGGATTCCGGGATGTAATTGATGAGGCTTTTGAACTCGCGAATTTGCATTTACTTCTTTCTGACCTACCAAAACCGTGCAACGGAGAGGCTTCCAAAGTGAGTTTAGATGCTGTCACAATGTGTGTCACTCCGTATACATTAAATGCTTCAAGAAACACGTTAATTTTCTGATAAATCCCAGTACCCAACAAATGCCTCTTTGCTGTCTCTTTTCTTTGTTTGTTAGGGTAACTGCATGTTTCAAATCACGTTTTTAATGATCGAGGTGAATTTTTTGTGAAGAGGTTTGAAAATATTTATTTGGGATTTCTTCCTGTGAGGCCAACTCTGTTTTCAAATTGAAATGGGTGATCATCTTGTACGGGTTGAACACCACTCACGTAATTTCGGGGTCCACGCGATGTCATTTCGTGCTCAGTTGATATCAACCGGTGCCAGCTGTTTCGCGTACCGGTAATGCAGCGCTCAAGCGAATGCAATCAGTGAAACCCACATCATACAAAAATGTACGAATCTGGAGTTGAACCGCAGACTTTTCAGAGGTTTCATTGTGCAGTACAGTATTACAAGTCTGGAAAACGTATACGCAGATTGCGAAGCTCACACTGGTTTAGTTTCGTGGACTTCTTCTTGGTAGTTAATCAGTCCCGTAAATTTTAATTGTCTTTCAGAACCACTTTTTTCATTTCGCTTTGTTATGCAATGGACCGTATGTCAACAATACGTCCCTTACTGGTGTAACTGTTTCGTTAACCGATGAAATCAGAAGTTTTTTGTGAGGTGTGTCCTTTGAGATTGGAAGGGATCGGATACCGTCTTTATGTTGTGATTAGGCGCCACATGTGCAACTTTTTCTCGTATTCTTTTCTCGAACCGCAATAATAAAGCCATAGCTTGTTTTTCATTCCGGTATAGTTCTCATTCGTTGCATTTGCACGAAAGCCAGACAGCATTATTTGTATGGATCATTCGTTTACATGCTACATTGATTTAATAGCTTTGTCTACAACTTCATTCTCCGATAAAGATCCATTGAAACGACGCCTACCCTTAGTCAGCTGACATGGTGGACCCATGCGTTGCAGGTCATGCTTGAAAGCTCTTAACAGTATTGGGGACGAACGATTCAGCCCCATCACCTTACTGTTCTGACCACTTTTTCCGGACAGATCAACCTACGCCACAGTGTTTCAAACAATTCAGTTCTAGTATCAGGTACTGGAATTGACGCTACTGCCAGACTAATGTCGATCATGTCGCACATTTTCAAACACTTGGTTCCCGTTAACTACGCTCTCGCTATTTCTCGTTCTACCCAGACAGACCGCATAACAATATGTAACTATGCAAACACCTGTCGGTTTCATCCCATGTGCCTATTGACTAGTCAGTCCATGATCGACCGCGCTGTCTACCTCGTATTTTCTGTTTTGCATCTATAGAACTTACCTGCGCACATATATACCTGGCGTTGAAATTCTATAACCATGTGGTTTTCTCACGCGCGACCTCTTTAGTTTTAAACCAGAAACAGTTGCATTTCGCAGGCAAGCGATCGGAACAAAACAACCCGTTAGGTGCTCGTAGAAGGATTCGATCACTGAATGCTCAGGTTCAGATCCACAGTCGCCGACATGACATTTGTATGAATAGTAGGACATCATTATCTGACTATATGCTAGTCGAATTCCCATTGGCTAATCCAAGCAAGCCATTTCTAGGCATGTCTAAGGGGTGTGCACCTAATTTAGGTTTGCGCAAATTTTTCAGTGGTGTGCGATAGGCGAAATTACGATAGCAGACCACAACGGGAATCATATAAGCTTCAATCTCGACCTGAACAACCTAGAGCTACTGTTTTTGTTTTTGTTGGATTACACCTCCTCGGTTAACCATCGAATAGAAGTTTAAAAGTTTCGAATAATCTTCAAACGACTTTTCATCTTCCACCACCTCAACCCAGGTGCATGCCGCCACCTTTCGATTGACAAGGTACTTCCATTCGCTTCATATGTTCTGCGTGACAGCTTGCAAAACTACTAAAACTACCAAGTGGTAGTAGTAATTACTTTTAACTAAAATAACTTGTAATTATTTGCCTTAGGTTACCACGTGTTACCAAACGGTTGCTTTTGATTACAAGTTGGGGAAGAGTGAATCATTTACTCATCGTACAATCCCATAGTTCGCTTGGGGACACGCTTTGTACACTCTTGTTGGAAACAGAGTTAAATGGAACCTTGACCCTCCGTACAAATCGCACCAACCAATGTTTTCTCTTGACTGGCTTGAATACTACATGGTTTTCATGGACGTACCGAGTGGAAGCTTCTAAGCCGGACCCTGTGTCATATAACTAATGAACTACGTCATCTTAACCGGACTTTTGTTCAACTCAAAGTCCACAAGCTCTAGAAAAGCGGTCTGAATTGGTTTTGCGGTGAAACATTCGGTACCTGTATCAAAGTTCTTGCATAATTGGACACTAACATGGGCTGATCCTGTCGTTTTATCGCACTTGTTTTCCCCATTTCGACGTTCTTGCTTCGGTTCTTTGGAATTATATTCTTGCGGACCTTGGGTTTCTTTTCTGTCAGTATTCACAAAACATTGAAAGAAGTTTCGAGTCATCCACCCGTAGGGAATCGTGACAAAGAAACATCAATGATTCTATGATTTTTATTCTTATTCCTCCGTTTGCCTGAAAGAATTCGTCAGTTGTGCTTTCGTCAGGAGGTTGATTTTACGATGGCTAATGTATGGTTAGTCTACCACCGCTGCAATTTATGAGATTTAACTATGCGATTGATTGCCTTGCGCATATTTTATTGACTTTGTTGAAACCCGGAACTACATTTAGCTATGGTTCCTCAAACAGTGGGGAACTTGGGACTGTGTACCTGAACCCACAAGGATAGCTTAGTGGAATCCCATCTTCTATTTACATGTGTTTCGTTTTCCCTTGTTTTTGAATCGCTGTTTTCCACCCAGTATTTGACTATCGTCTCCATAGCCACTTTTGCCAACCGTGAACTGATTTCTTGTCATACTTTATCGATTCCTCGGTGTTGCCTCTCCTTGTCTTGACCTCTCCGCCCTTTCAGAACTCTAAGCTATGTTAGTACCCTTAAATTTTCCTCCCACCTAATGGTTTGTTTCTGTACGCAGTACGGCAAGTGATCAAGATGTTTCCTGTGCTTCTAAGTACCGAGTTGATTAATAGGTGGCCTTTGAATTTGCATTTCCGCCGTAATCACCGAGTCATGCCTTTGGACGTTTTCCTCACGCTGACCGGTGAACTTGAGCCTTCAGGAGTACCCAGATACATGGGTTGTTTTAGTGTTCATCGATTTGTTCCCTGAGCCTGACAATTTCATTGCACATGTTTCACCACCAATCAAGGTGACATCATCATTACGTGCAGCGGAGAGGTATGTCGCTAACCGAAAATGTGCGCCCACCAGGCCAAGTGAACGGTTTAACTACCGTTTGAACGATCTGTGCTATGTTGACTGTTGTAAAATATGATACACCTTGTTGTTAAAACTTGAGAGTACCTGGTTAAGAAAAATGCACGGTATGTTGACTTTTTTATTCTGACTTTTCGGAGACTGGGGGTTACTTTCGAACAGAATTCTGGAAGAGAAAATGCGTAGGCCAGATGTTTCCAACTATCATGTGTGCAATGTGCTTGGGACAGCGCCAAGTGGATTCACGATTTGTTATCAGCTGTGAACTAAACGACGGTTGGAAGTGATCGGTTTGCTTCTTCTCTGCTTACAAACAATGGTTGAGGCTCATCTCTCATTGCCTTGTTTGGCACAACTGCCCCAGTGACACAGTGATTAGCCGTGGTCGTTGCGAGCCCGATGCACAGCTTCAGTTGCATAATGTGCCGAATAAAACTGCAGGCCGATAGGTGAATGTTCTCCTATCTTCACTGTCCCAAAATTCCTATTGTGCCTTTCAAAACTTACGCTTTGTATCAGTTAAATATGACCTCACCAGGTAACCGTAGTTGGCGCCCCACATCTGTCCGTAGTGGAGTTTGACATCCGTCAGTTTATGCTCTTAGGTTGAGAACACACTGTGTTGACCTCAATCCTACCTTTGGGTTCGTTATGGAGTGTCCCCCCCCTGGGCCTCCTTGAGAGATATTCCCATCTGAAACGGGTCCGTAGTGGTATTTTAACGTCTCTCGATTAATTTTATAGTAACTAAATATTGTAACGATCGTCTCAGCATCAGCCACCGAATCCTCCTATGCCTTTTTACCCTCTTCGCGAGTCGCTCAACAAAGTCACTTTTAAATCATTTACAAGCAGTTTTCCGCCAGAGCTCCTATCTATCATAACTTTATACTTCCGTCCCTGGTTCGTTTCCTCAATGAGCCCATTTTGGTGGCTGACATTGTTGTGCCTCGTTTCTTTTTCAAGTCGTTTCAAAATCGTCCAACTTAAGTAATCCAGAGCATTTGAATGAACAATCTAGCCTTTTTATAACAGTCTTAACTAGTTTGTCCGAAAATCCCGAAATGCCTGAGTGTGAAATATCAAGGTGGTTCACCGTCGTCTACAGACATAATTGTGAAATTTTGGTAATCTCATTCCCTTGTTGTTAGCTTTGTGTTGTATACTGCACACCTCCAGACCGTGTTTCTCCTCCAAACCTCCGTATCTCCTCAGTGCGTTCTCGATCACCCTGACCCCTCATACAAACATTCAGGTCGTTTGGGGGCATTATGGTGACCTTCACCAGAAACATACTAATGTATCTGATGAATGTTTTCAAACAGTAGCCCACTTTGACCTTGCCTATCACATCAGATTTCATTTTGTTAGACCCAGGGTAGTGCTCTCCCTTGGTTCGATTGATGGATCACACCTTTTGTCTAGGGACGACAACACAGTTCACCCTATGGATTACTTTGGTTTCTAGACACTGTGCTCCACGATTGAAATAGCGGTTGTTTGATGAATATCCACACATTCATACCCCGCATTCGTTGATGGCGACAATGTTGTCAAACGTTGCAGCTTCGTTTTCAATACTTCCCGATTTCTAATCAAGTGTTTTCTGTAATCAGGCTTTTTGTGCAAGTATCTTATTGGGAGCTAACACAGCTGCCGTGTGTTGATCCTGTTTCTACATCCAATAATGGGTCCTACATGGTGCAGCTGATCGTTGTCTGCTCTCCAATACCGCTTAAGATAGTTTCAGCTATTCCCTTTTCAGTATTGTGATCCGTCACCTCTCTCAAACACTTTTTCTTTTAGATACCAGGAGGCACGCTCCCCCCAGGTGAGTTAACTCAGCTCCCACAGCTATTGGACAACTTATCAGAAAAGCTGCGTGAAACATTAACACCATCCACGCACAGCCTGAGCGACTTGAATGGGACACAAACAGCGTTTCAAACGACCACAGAACGTTTGAACAAAACCTTACCATCTCGAACAGCCAAATCATCTGGAAACCGCTTTCCCACCAGTGACTTCAGCTCTTTGTCAACGTCCCAACTGTCTACGGAAAATCAGACAACAGATTACGCCTTTCACTCAATTCCTGTCTCTTCACCTCAACCATACTACACTTTGCACCAGAATCCCGGTTTCCACAACCCGAAGGAACAAAGAACGCGCCCTGTAAATATTCTCTCCCCTCCTGCTCCATCCGCTCCTGACGATGGTCGATCAGTATCACAAGGCCAGTGTGTGGCGACGCTTTTCACTACTAATGACTATGACGAACCTTACAACAGCCCTCACCCGGACAGTGAAGATGAATCATATAATGTCAATGGGGGTCATAATGGCCACGAGGACTATCCACCTCCTCCACCGGTACCAGAAAGACTGACAAACTTGGTGAGTCTCTCGCTTTCATCATATCCTCACGTCCTTTGTCCCTCTCTACCGGTTAGTGTTCATGTGCCTCAGTTCCGGTCCTTTAAGTAGTAGAGTCAGCCAAGTTCACTTAAACGCATTGGACTGACGTTGCGGAAACATGGGAGAGTTTTGGGGAGGTGAAACAACGCAGGTCTCGAGCAGGCTTGTCCGCTGAAACATAAATGGTTATGCCACATGGACCGCCTCTAGTGTTTTGATTATAGAATCCAAATTTAGATATGTGTCCCGCAAAATCCTCATATAACTGCCTTTTCCATTACTTGTTACTTTATCCCTGTCTCTTAGGCGAGGTACTTCAAACCGGTGAGGTGTTTAATTCTGAACAATATTTCGACTACATGTAGTTGTAACTTACTTCATCTATTCGATAACTATGCGTAACCGCATCCGTTCGAATACGGTTAGGCGATTGTCTGCTTAAATTGTTTCTAGTCTGTTTGCTTTGTGAGGCAATAGTACAAAATGATCTGATCGAAAATACGCCTGAAAATCATGTGTTCATCAAAAGAAGTTTTCTTTCTTGAAAATATTTCTACAATTCGACTGATCTCAAGGGATCCATAATCTTCCAAAGTGTGCAGTGTATCGGTTCCTAACGAGCCGATGTATCCAAGGGCAACAAGAGGATAAGCGTTTCATACACTGTAACGAATATAACTGCACAAGTAAGCATTATTATGAGAGATGTGGTCGTGTCTAGGTGGCCCAACCATCTTATATCGTACGATTATTATTGAACAGCCGCATAGCCCTCATTATCCTCATCATCCCATGGCCTTATTTGTAATAGTTTCATTACAAAGAGGGTTTTAGTGAAGCAGCACTACCTAGCGTAATTTAGGCTGAAGATAATTCTCAATCAATTGGAAAATGTTTCGGACCGATTCGTCGTTTCGATTCGGGCCAATAGACACATGGAAAACTGAACAGACTAATTCGAGCGTCCACCGATGTTTTTCTGGCGTAGATAACACGTTCCCCTGATAAACTGTGATATCTTGACACACCCTTGCATCAAGTTTAGCATCGGGTACACTGCCCTTCCTTGACTGTGTGACACAAGAGTGGTGGGAAATGGATAACGACGGTTTACCAGAAGTGATGCGGCCTTAAACTAGTCCTCAGCACACCCAAAAGCAGCAAATGCTAGTGTAGTTTCAACAATGTTAAGTAAAGTAAGAACACTGAGCGCTGCCAGAAGCGAAACTTCGCCCAGCAATAAATCCACCGATTGTTTACGTAACCCCTCTGAAATTAAGATAATTTTGTTTCAATTTTTCCACCGGTGTACGACCAGTACGCGGTTATTACAGCTGATAATGATGATGATGATGATGACCGGGCAGTATATTAGTTTCCTTTGCTTCATTTCAAATTTGAAATGTTCTTCCTTGAGGGACAGCCGAAATGCTGAAAGAAACAGAGTTGCTTTATACACACTAAATTGTGTGCACTAGCCCTCTCTCCATATCTCTCATTTTCAGCAGTCCCCATTGGATATTGGGTTTCTGGAAGATTCCGTACTTCGTGCTTGTTATCTCAATCTCCTAATTGCATCCTTTTTTAAAACAGCGGCGCTCTGTACACTTCTTAGGGTTTCTCTTCCTCTTCAGTCCGCATTTCCCTTTGATTCGTTGTCGTTCTTACCAACGCCGTTCGTGGTTTTGTTTTCTACAGTCGCATGCTCGGCGCTCTAGTTCTCATATTGATGACCTGAGGGCGCTATCCCTTCCAATGGCCCATAGTGTTCCGACGGGTTTGGATGGTACGCGTGGTGCTGATGACGAGCCCGTTTATGATTTCGTTCCTTCATCGGACGCTTCATCCACTGATGACTTGGTTCTAACAAATGAAAAGTATCTTTATGGCTCTACCAGCCATCAGGCGTTACAAACCTCATCTGATGTGAGTTTCTGTCACCCAACGCCTAGTAACTATAGTGCATCTCTCAATAAAATGGTAATAACAATCCTGTTTCGCAACTTAATCGTAGTCGCAGAACACTCTCAATTTCAGTTGAAAAATAAGTCAACCTGCTCCATTTTAGGGTCCAACAGGAAGATGACCGCAATAAAGTTAAGTGGTTATCGTACTTTTTCGATTGCCTGATAATGGGACGAGAACGTACAGTTTTCGTGCGTTTCACATATACATTACCGGAAAATCAATCGGAGTAAGAGTGACTTTTTTTCCAAAAGGCACACCTGTCATCCACTGTAACTTATCTCGGTGCGTACTTGGGCTTCGCCCCTGACACCCTGATTGAACCTCCATCTCTGTGGGTTCTACCGCTAACACGGCAGCTTGCATCAAAACGAATTTAGAATGTGTGAAGTGTTTTTTAGGAAGCATCGAAATCATCAGATAGAACCAATAAGCGCTATTAAATGTGACTAAAAAGCACCGCATGCTTTCATCACCGGACATTTCATCTACATTAGGTTTAGTTTCTTTATGTACATAGTTTTTAGTTGAAAAATAGGATTGGAATACGGTTCCTCGAAGATCGATGTTTTTTTCTTGGTCCAAGCTGAGAGCCAGTCTCTCTGGTGTCCTCGAATTGCATACAAACGTTTTCTTTGGAATGATTTTGTCTGCAGTGTTTTCCCTAAAGTGGTTAACTGCGTGTCCACAGACATGTGACTCCTTTGGTTAGAGCTGACGTCATTGAACTAATAGGCATTATCAAATGCCAGTGTTTAGTACACTGATAAAACAAAAATGCTTGAATTATCCACGTTCGTTACGGTTAGAGGGGGGCAAGTGTTGGTTTTGTGGGTGACATGCAGGTACAAAGTGAAGAATGAGCGTCTCTTTCGTTCAGTTAGCAAAGGGTTTACTTCGAAATCGGATTGACAGTGACCAATAAATAAACCTACGTTATTGCCAAAGTATACATCTGGATGGAGTATTGGGTGACACTTATGTTTCCTTTTTACCACTCAAATCCTAGTTGAAATTGTCCGTGTCCTCAAGAAAAATATTTGTTCTCGTTCCACCAGCGGCCATTCTTTTGTCGAAGCCCAGGTCACATAGTTTTGTCACGTACATTGTCAACTTTTTCTTCGATCACAGGCTGCCTGAAAATACGTAGAATCCTAACTTACATATTCATTATTCCACGAAGTGAGATTCTTCTGAGATTTAAGTTATGGCTTTTTATGCTTGAAAAACTGATTGATCTTACAGTTGTGTTATAGGGTGTATTTTCCAACTTGGTGATCGTGTAACATTCGGTTTGTCGGTTTGGCCTTTTAAAGCTGTGTGACTATTACCTTCACAATGACTCATCGACGTCCAATAATTCTTAGAGCAATATAAGAAGTGCGTGAAAACTTTATCTGAAACGTCACGACACTTCTTTTAGGTTGGTTCAGCTGAAGTATTTTTGGAAGAACAGAGCTTGAAGTGACTCAGTAGTTAAGGCTGCTAACCTAAAGGCCTGTGGTTCAGATCCAAACCCGAAATATCGATTACTGCTGTCTAGGTTTTGGCAACCTGACAGTATCTCATCCCTCGCGCTTCCTTCAATTGACACTGAAGCTAGCTACCTAAGGGGTGTTACAGAGGAACGGTCACAATTATACTAATTGGAATGAACCAAAGACACGAGAATCTTGTCTAGTCCCAATCACCTTTCTATCTTGTTTTATCCACACGTGATAAGAGCCCTATCTTTCCCTCTTTTCACTCGTCTTCAGCGAAATGCAACCTCTTTGCAGCGTAAGAGCAAACAGTCCTCACCTCGTGAGCTAGTAAAAAATAGATTTTCATCACGAGCTGAAGTTAATACAACAGAGGAACCGGAATCCAAGTCAACTGAAGCTGATGTGTGTACCATGGGTACAGCTCTGTCCGCTGAACACACCGCCAGATCTCCCCGTATGGTATCGAAACAAGTGGCCAAAGCCAAAGTTGTCCTCACTAGAAATAACCAGGTCGCTCCACCTGTGAGCCTGAAACCCATTGCAGCCAAATCACCTTTGGAGACCGGAGTAAGTTTCAACTTTGTTCGCGCTTCATTCACGACATGTGATCGTATTTCCAATAAAGTATACTAGCATGTTCACCAATCCCAAGTTTTAGTTTTGTATGTATGCTGCATGCTGTGCTCCATCAGCATCAAGAATCGATCATCGCAGTGCATTCTTTAGCACAGTCAGAAGCGGTTTCACTGTTACTTACATCGCTCTCTTTGGAGTTTGCCACTGGTATGATGTAGGTACCTATGTGATTCAGGTAACCAATAATGAAACGACTGAACTGACAGGAAAACAGCGTATCACATCTAGGGGAGCCACCAAGGCATGAGGCGTCCAAGATGTTTGAATTACAGTCAAGTATAGCGAAAACGCTCAGTTTCAGATTAAGTTGATCATAACGGGAGACTCATCTGAATCCTAGGTGAATCATCTGTTCTATTTTCCACGTGAAATAGGACTAGGTGCTTCTTATGCTTAGCAAATCTGACAGGAATGTGAGAATCCCATGATCCTTCATTGAAGGTCGCCAGCAAAGTGGAGTCAGATCATCGCGTTCGCTATTCAGCAAAAGTAGCTAGGGGGTGAGATGGATCAGTGGTTAAAGCGAAATTTACCGAAAGATCCGTGATTCGAACCCGACCTCCACCTCTTGGCTTCCCCTGTGTGGACATGGGCAACCTGGCAGTATCCCAGCCCTTGTGCTCCCTTTGGGTGGCATGGCAGCTAGGGACCGAAAGGGTATTAGAGCTGAACGATTATCTTTTTTTATTATTTTAGAAGTCGCTATTAAGTGGTATGCTCTTGCGAGAGGCCATCATATTCAATATACTGCATACAAAAGGTAAATGAAAAGTTCCTCATACGCCCCTGATCGGGTTAAATATGCGGCCACCTAAATTCCTGTCATACGGACGGCTCAGTCAACCACCCTATACTGTCACCTTAGGTACCGTGCCGAGCAGGTGGCTGGATGGTTGTGTCAGAACATATTATTATACGGGCAAAAGCAGGTCATGCCTAGGTAGCTGAAATTTATTGAGTGAGCACTGAAACTGAAAGTCGATCACTTGGCTACATTCCATCAAGAATAGGGCTGTCGAAAGGACAGATGAAGCAGTAATGAGACCAAAACGCTTCCATGATCGTTACACAAGCACGCATTTTATGGGGGCGTGAATAGTACTGACAATCGTGACAATTATCCGGTCTGGAATTTCACCCAAAATGCGCATACATAAACAAGGATGAACTGGAATCTACATTTATGTGGGGCAGCAGCAACACATTGCAGAGTTACAACATAACTATCTAGTAAGTTGCCCCGGGGATCATCATTCGCCCTGGTGGCGTAAACTAACAATACCAAATAGTCAAATGTTTATTATCTTTTTTATGTAATCCAATGGTTATAGTTTCTCAGTGCAACCATGTAGCGGTGTGTGACCAACTATGTGACAGGTATTACTTGGCAAGATAACTTTTACAGGGTACACACGGATACCCATGGGGCTATTCATTCCGAGACTTTTGAATATTTTCCATACGAGTGTCAACTGATTCTATTTGTCCGGTATGACATGAAGTGAGGCTTATCCAGTGAATATGATAGCCTTGATGCAAGAGTATTTTTGCTGAGTGACGCGTGTATATCTGTCAGGGTCACCAGCCGTCGGTTTTCTTTCCGGAGTCTCCAACTGGGAGATTAACTGTTACCAGCGCTGTTGGGTTGACTGGTAAGGACTTTTGTGCCTCGTCACCAAGTCATGAACTGACGATCCCTGGGTCTTCTCCATCCGATGCAAGGCTAGGCGAAGAGGATTCCACGAAGTAAACGGTCGTCTGGCATACGAAGTATACGGCCCAGCCAGCGTAACCTGTGGAGTGTGGCTAGCTGATATACCGAAGAAGAGTGGACTTTCGCGAAAACCAGCTGGCATGCCTCGGCGTTCCACCAGACTAGGCGCCTTCAGTCGGACCGAGAGAGTCTCCGAAAGTCTTCCAGACACAATAATCACGTCTCTGATCCATTAAGTGAAACGAGTCGGACCGCTGCATTGTACACTCTGCTCTTGGCAGTCAAGCTTATGTCACCTCCGAGCAACAAATGTAGGATGGTAGCAAACACTGTTCTGGCCTCCCAAATTTAGATGTGCTTTCATCCTTCGCCAGCCCACCGGTATTTACGCAGACCCCCAGGTAAACTGTCTTATTTACAACATCGATAGGTTCGCCTGCAAGCATGAGGTTTGAATTTGATCAGTCAGTCTAACAACAGCGTTTCACACCTTACTGGTGCGAAGTGCATGCCGAACTATGCAGAAGAATTATTTGGGTCCCTTAATATAGTCTGCATGCTCTGCAGCGGCGATAGAGAATAACCCTTCCTGACACCAGTGGGTTTGGTGTCTTCAGGCAAGAATTTGCTGCAGACATCTTCGTCCACGGAAGGCATGTGGTGTCTTTTAAGAGGCCGAAATTTAGAGAGGGCACTCGCCATCGTCAAACGCCTTCAGTGTCTGAAGACCAAAGAATCTAAACGGACCTGAGATCGTTGAGGACATCATTGCCGTTGTCAGATGTAGTATCGCAGTTCCAGTAACTGTCGTATACTAAATACCGGGTCGATGCGAACCCGGACAGGGCAAAACCATACTTAATTCTCGCGCATGTGACTCTCCTGATGCTGGATCAACCTGCCTTGGCAGGTGAAAGTGTTCCTTATTTGGGTTCGACGGTTTCAGTGGTAAGCTCATGGGGGGTTGCCGAAGCTTCCCTGTGTGCATTTTATTTCCAATCTAGGAGATCCACCACATACCTTGCGAATTTTTGTATACATGAAGTGAGACTTGGTTGACATGAACTAACCGGTCTATAAATTTGTATATTTTGATATCTCCTGGTGCCGTGTTGTTTAACTTCCGTTCGACTGGTAGTCTGGATATCCGGCACTGACATTATTGCAGCCTAACTGAACTGTAAAACATAGTCCATTGATTGGCTAAAACGCGCGAGCCGTGATTTGAGAAATACCCGGATTAGTTGTATATACACAGGGCGCCTGTGCTCATTTCACTAATCGATTGAACTGGTTAACCAGAGTTCTACTTCCAAACGTTTTAGCTACAATCTGAGTTGATGTGGTACAATGCTAGGTTTTCTGGTCAAACGTTGTGCGAGTTTATGCATGCCAAATGTGCGCAGCCTACTGAGCATACCTTTCAGATCGCCTATGGCACCACCCTCATACTGAAAAAAAGTTTCCAAAAGTCACGATATCCAGTAATAGTCTACCCCACAGTATCATACCTCTTGCGTTTAATTTGTAATTTGCATGTCAGCTATGATTATTTGGTCATTTTTACCTAGCACATGAGACGGTAGCGTCTCAAATTTTGTGGACCATTATGGAGGTTTCAATCTGTTTCATCATTGTCTACTGGAAAATACTTCGCAACGGTGCCAACTAACTGGTGGACAATATACGATTCTGCAGAAGTGTTGTGGCAATAAGAGAAATCTTTATGCCATATGAAGCATGGTTAACCATTTTTTGTAGTATTGGATAGGGACGTTGCTTTCTGTGATCAAACCTAGTTAGTTAATCGAGTCCGCATTTTCGGTTTCCATCCCTATTTTCTGATTCACTGTTTGAGCTCCCGGCCAACACTTCTAGCGGCTGGAAATTGAAAAACCACTGTTGTTCCTATGATGTTGCTATCTGACTTACTATTTATTCCTTTAGACCTTCAGTGTTTTCCTGTCAGTTGGTGCAGCGGTAGTTTGTTCTCTCAGTTGACTACCTTCCAGTAATAGTCTGGGTATTCAGGCGGAAACGTTGCTGGTAGTTTTAGTCAACTTGTCCCAATTAAGTCACATATTTTAGTAACTGATGGCATATGAAGGCATTTGGCCACCCTCCGAAGAGGTTGTACACCGAGTCCTGATTGACGTGGAGCACTGCGGTGTTGTGTATCTTCAGACGGGGTTCTCTTCGGGGATGGTATGATTTCTATAGGTTGCTGTGTATATTCTCTCACCAGATAGCCTCATGAAAAACATGCCGTATATTCTGGAAGGCCAGATCGAAAGCACACAGATTATTAAAGGTGATTAGCAAAGTTTACTATTAAATTCACAGCACCTCCCTCCAGAGTGACTCCTCGTAACGATCATTCCTCCAGTAATGGTTTCTAGGAAATTCCAAAATTCAGTACGAATTGGGTAACTTCAGAAGACTCCAATCCTCACGCTGACCAATTTTTCGGCACAATTCACCGCTATAAAGAGCATCAATATTGCCTGCCTTACTAGGTTAGTTTATTCGTTTTTCGCTTGTCAGTTATAGCAGCCAGTAGTATGAAAGAGACCACGAAACTTTCCAAAATTCAGTACGAATTGGGTAACTTCAGAAGACTCCAATCCTCACGCTGACCAATTTTTCGGCACAATTCACCGCTATAAAGAGCATCAATATTGCCTGCCTTACTAGGTTAGTTTATTCGTTTTTCGCTTGTCAGTTATAGCAGCCAGTAGTACGAAAGAGACCACGAAACTTTGGGTACTGTCGGTGCTGCTCGCCTTCCAGGATGGGGACCGCGTGATCTTCACTGCGCCTGGTGGGAGATGCTGCAAGATGTGGCTGCTAACCGGTGTCAATAGCGTTCTTGTTGCCAGTTTCTATCCAGAGTGCCTCAATGAGTGTCTGATGGTGCATTCACCTCGGAATAATTGTAGGAAGCGTGCGTTAAGTCCCTCCCTGTCCACCTTTATTCCTTTCTTCACAATAGGGCTTTCATATAAATCATGTTTGTACGATGATGATGTAGCAGCCAGATCCTTGAGGGTTATTTAGCATGGCCCCTGCACAAACAACGATAAAAAGTACTCTCAAAACTCACAAAGGCAGCAGAATGACTTCGTAACATTATAAGCTGTGACCTAGAACCGCGGGCCATGAGCTGGGACGGCATCCAAACCGTGTATCGATCCCCTTGGGTTTTGTACACAGAATTGATGAATACATGTTCGTGCAAGCATTATCCCAAGCTAGGCTGCTGATCGAGCCAGACTAAACCCTCGGTGTGGCCGAAGGTTATGCCATAACCTGATACGGTTTGGAATCAATCTCACGGCATGACCAATCGCATTAACCTCCCAAATTGACTTTATTTCGGATGGTACCAGTCAGAATCAACGTGTGTCACTAAATCGCAAGCGGGATAGGAGTACAGACTACTCTCTAGCTAGTCAGTGCCTTTTGAGTACTGGAATTGAAAATATACTCTATCAGATGCGGTAATTAAAAAGAGGCGCAAAATGTTGCTCGACCATAAAATGTTCGCGGCGATTGGTGCATGACATATCGGGTTTTGGAAAACGGGCACAAGCCCTTGCTGCTTGGCTGGTCAGTCAGCAGAGATTCCGACAGTTTCCACTGCAGAATGTTCTTTGCATAGTGAGCAAAAAAGACAAGGTTTCATAAATTCTTCAACGTCTTATATCCTCGGAGGGGAATACTCAACTGCAAAAAAATGTATTTTCGTGTGCTCCCGAAGGCTTGTTCATTGTTGAGAGATGAGTACAATGGTATTAGTTGGTGGTTGGTGGTAGCCCACTTTCATATAAATGTCGTTTGAACAGTCACCCACCTGGTGCAATTATTCTGATAAGTCTACACCAAAGAGAAAAAGCACCGCACTCGAGTTTCGCTATTATTAGCAGCGCATATTCCTGTTCGTAACACGGTTGGAACTCCAGCCATCTGACATGCGAAGTGGGCGTGTTACCACTACTATACCAGCTCGCGCTGGGCACATCTCAGTTTTCATGTCTCACAATATGAATATCATAAACGAGAGATTCGATTGAGCCTCCCGTGGGAACCAACTTGATTTGCAAATGAGTGTATTTGTTGAAACGTGAAAATTTATTTTCAACTGATGCAACACGATATTAAAGAAGAGGATATTCTACATTTATTGGTCAAATACGCAGCTCATCCCAGTGTCGTGCTGATCCTTGTGCCGCAGAATAGTCGTCCAGTCTACAGCCGTCGGATGAGGTTGGCGCATGTCACACTTTTTCTAAAATGACTGATGTGGTTGACACGAGGATATTACACTGCTAATTGTGAAATTCCTTTGTTTGAGATACTAGGCCGGATACTTCTAGCTTTGGGACACAGTTCTTTGTCAAGAGATATTTCTCCCGGTTTCTTCCAACATCCAAGCAAACGCTTCTCTTGATTTAGGTCAAAGTGGATTGTGTTGACACCAGTTTGATGTGCAATTCCAGAATATAACGACTTATCTTGTTGTCACCGTTTAGGCGCAGTTGTCTCATGCATCACTGAGTCTGAGAAATCAAGCGAGGGTGACATCAACGAGAATGAGTAAGTCGTAAAAGGTGAATACTCGGAGGTATTTTAGCCATCCAGCTGGTAGCGTTCGCAAAATAATACTCGGACTTTCAGGCAAAGATCAGGAATGTTCACTGCGGTCAGCCTATGCTATCGAAATAGTTTAAAATTAGCCGGTGAATGAGTATTCGGTTAGACGCGTAAATGAGGAAATGTTTTTCTTTTCTGTTGGAACACCAGGATTGCCCATAGGGTGGTAGAAATTTGGAGAACATAGTGCCCGCCCCAAGCATTCATCTACAGTAGAGGAATCGTTTTCCGTCCGTCTGATAGGTTGGCGCTGTAGGCAGACACCGTATGAATTTCCACGGACATGAAAGTATGCCGTCCTACTGTCTGCACAAGCTCATGGTATTGTGCTACTGAATACTACACTGTTCACCGGTGGAATAACTGGAGACAGGACGAATATATACATGCAACATATCGTGTCGAAAAGACTCGCGTAGTGCATCCAAAAAACAAAAAATTGACACGAGTGAGTAGCATAAATGGGATGGGAAGCGTTGTGGATAAGTACTCCTAAATTTCCCTATGCTTTTCTTACGTAATGACATCCGTATACGCAACTTTGGTCGAAGACTTCCGTGAGGAACGAGTACCAGAATATGGTAGACGGCTGAAGATTTGGCAATCCACACCCATTCAAACGAAGTTTGTGCAGGCATACCTCACTTGATGCAATACACATCATTGACCATCTCTCATCCTGTGTTTGTTTATCATGCATCCACGTGCCCCTTCATTTCCGACTGATTGTTAGACACAGGCGACAGACTTTGCACAAGGGCATGCTGCTTTCACTGGGATGCTTGTATTGCTGTTTCTCATTCTCTTGGTTTTTATAAGTTTATTTTTTGCTTTATACATACAAGTGCCAGGAATAGATACATCCAGTAGGTTCCTTTGACCAGGCGTCTGTTCCTTATGTACAGAAAGCAGCTCAGTTCTTCTGGTGCATTCGCGTGCATGCAGTCTGCTAGGGTTTAAAAATAGATAGTTTTTGTTGGTCTATCGCTCAGATCACACTGTAAAAAATCGTTGGGTAGGGCAAGCTGTGCATCTATTGATATTTTCATGTTTTAGCGCCTTAGTGTGTGCACACCAACAGCCCGACACTGGATGTGATGTGTGTTAGTGTGTCCCCAAGTATCCTATTATGCATCGTGCTTCTGGTCAGTGTCACCTGGATAGATATGCATCTAGTCGTGTTGCTCGCTGGTTTTGTTGTTGACGCTTCCAAATTTCCGAGATCAACGTCCAAATTTTGTCTAAAATCTTTGGCTTACCGGCTGTGGAGTCTGATCTCATTCTGCCACGAAGAATGATTGATTGCGTTTGCAGCCTGGGTGCCTGAACTGGTATAAAATAGCTTACAGATGCCCTACTGTTCTATCGCCCGATCAAAGTGCGCACAGCAACTGCCAACAGGACGAATGCGGTCACAACATATTCGCACGTAAAACAGATAGGCACATTATATGTGGATTTGCTGAATGGGTGAATTTCATTGTTCTAACGCGACCTTCATGTTTTCTCGAGTTTATCTGTTTTTATTTTTTCTTAATGTTAATAGACATGCGGCCATAATTGTTCAACTTTCCTTGCTAGCACCATTGCCACCTAGTAGACACAATGCGTGACTCGGGAAACAGTCTCCGTTTTGCAGCCCAACTCAGTTAGCACAATATGCAGGTCACACGAACGCTCACTTCTCAGCCGAATTTCTCAGTACTGAATTTAGGGCTGTTTTACCTGTTGAAGGAGCGACTTCTGCACAAAGTCGAAAATAATGAAAATTCACAATTATAGTGACCCATCTGGCAATTGGTGGTTGTTTGTGGGGTTGATAATCTTTGATTTAAATTTAGTCACGTCAATGAAGACAATACGCTCACTTCTCAGCCGAATTTCTCAGTACTGAATTTAGGGCTGTTTTACCTGTTGAAGGAGCGACTTCTGCACAAAGTCGAAAATAATGAAAATTCACAATTATAGTGACCCATCTGGCAATTGGTGGTTGTTTGTGGGGTTGATAATCTTTGATTTAAATTTAGTCACGTCAATGAAGACAATATATGCTGAAAAGCCGAGGAGCACTGTGTAGCTGTTTCATCCTTATTGGAAATCATCAGTAGTGTGTACCCCAACAACCAGAGGGTTTCGAACCCGCGAACTTCCAGCCAGTGGTTCAACACTTTCGGTCACAGCTCAATAGCAGTGTGATTGGCTCTCATTTAGACAGTAAGATAAGTGATAATAAAAGATAATCGTTCAGCCGTAACACACTTTCGGTGTTTAACTGCCATGCCACCTGAAGGAAGCACGAGGGCTGCGATACTGTCAGGTTGCCCAAGCCGAGACAGGGAAAGTCGAGAAGCAGATGTCAGGGTCAAACCACGGTCATTGAGCTCGTGCCTTAACGACTGAGCCAGTGGTCAGTCAATAATTTACATAACTGTTCACTTGTATTTCTATATCTTGTTCACACCGCGATGCAAAGGTCAACAGACTTGGGGATAAACACCTACTAACTGCGGTCTGAGAAGTAATTATGTTCATAACTTTTAGAGTGCGGATGTCCAAGTGTATTCATTGGAAATTGTGATATTCTCGTTTGGTCCGCTTCTCACCGGCAAAGCTTATTTTTCATATTCTTCCCTACCCCCAAACCGATGTTTTGCCTTTGCTAACATTATATTTCATGCTTCAAGTTAGAGTCCGAGCTTAAAGTCAATCGGAAAGTATTTTTGCATTAAAAATTGATGTGATACCTGGAATATCTTTTCACTCGTTAGCTCTTTCACCGCAATCTATGAATAGTGCATGTTCATCCGATTCATCATGTTTGTTCCTTTTACTCAGGTAGAGTAACCAGCTATTATCCTCAGAGTGTTTCTTTTCTCTGTGTTTTTGTATTCGCTGTTTTTTCCACTCTTAATGAAGGTACACGGATCATATTGCTGCAGTAGAGCAGCTATGTGATCACTTTTTACTCGCTTATTTTCTCCTATTTCAGCTGCAATCATCTTCCAGACAAGCGGACGTTCCCATTGTTTTTTCTCCCCGTGAAGATCGGAAGTTTTCCATCACGCGGAACGGCGGAGATTCCTATCATCCTCAAAATGGTGCCAGTCGCGTGGAGCACAGACCGTTACCCAATCCCGTCAATCCCTTGTTGGATGAAACTACTTACGATGAAGTTGATGGAGATTTTACTGGAAATTCTACAAAAATCCAAGCCGAAACATCGGGGACACCGGTCTTTGATGCCTGCGAAGTACCGATGAACCCCGCTGTAGCGCATACTGATGGTTTGGAACATGAAGTAGTACGACTGAGGCATCAGCTCGAACTCTCACGTGCTGACGCGGCCCGAGCAGCTAACCGACTTAGCCAACAAGAGGCGGAATTGGCTCATCTCCGACAGTTGTTGTCTCAGCTGCGTGCTCAGCCACAGTTAAATCGTTTTCCATCTGCGCTGTCGAACCAGATGAGTTTGAGGGCGACTGTGCGGGAGATCCTTTCGGAACCCAGCTGCAACCCCAAAACGACGGCGTCAGAAAAGTTTGGCCTTGACTGCTCCGCGGGAAGGGGTATTGGGACAAGTTTTACAGAACTCGATGACGCCATGGCGAGGTGAGTCGTTCTAAAACCGATTAATGCGTTGTAGGCTTTCCTAGTTAGTGGGGGTCGGACAACAATAGAGCGCTCTACCTGGATGTGTAAAGGGCCCGTGATTTGTATCTGTATTTATATCTTCCTTCCTGAAAAAAGGAGCGACCAACTTTTTCCTCACATTCAAGCCGTTCCACTTTCCCAGTTGGTGAGTATATTCTGATGTCACCTCTGTGTGTAGTCGTTTAAATTTACCGCGATACTATTAGCTAGTGTTCCGTTTGATAAACTTCTCAATTTCTCTCTCCAGTGGTCGTTATATCTTGTGTCTGTCTGTCCCTCAGAACCGTTATAAACATTCCTTCGTGTGTCCCAGACAGACGACCTCTAAAAAATACGACCTCTCAGTTTTCCTGTTTCCTTCAGAAATTGTCTTGACCATGGACTTGCGCATTGTCTATTTCCATGGTCACAATTCACTTCCGAATAGCGATCACTTGGGTAATATTTGCCCAATTATAACAAAGTCTGCTGCAAACTAACACGCCAATCAGCTGGTTCCAACCGTGTTTCTTTGTGTAATTCACTACTCAGTACATTCAGTTGAACATCATAACCGATAGATTCAGTTGGGTTTGCGGGTGCACCTTTCGTCAAAATCAAATTAGTATGTAGATGAGTATACACGTTGTATATCCTTGTGTACTTTTGTTTGTGCATTGTTCGACCTCTGTGCCCGCTCACTTCGTTACTTCGGCTCGTAAATGGAATAACTGAACTGAACCCGAGAAGTAGATCGTTGTCTGAGACACTCATCCGAACCGTACACGAACTACACTCTCCCACTTCCGCATATCCAGATGAGGTCTTTTTTAATGAGAAACTTATTGGCCCGTTATTGAAAACAGTGGTATCTGTGGAAACTCTATAAACGCCATCGAATGGCTCCGGTTGCGTTATACATCGGAGCTAATGAAGTTGGCAATCGTGGATTTCTTGGATTATAACGAAAACGGTTCAATTTAGCGGTCAAGGGCGAGTTGTCTTCTAGTCAGTAAAGCCAGATGGAAGTCTTCTGTTGTCAGTTTTGGCACTATTTTTATACTGGAAGAATCAGGCTGAAGCAGAAACAACGATGATATCTACTGTGTGATTAGTTAGCCAGCTTCGTCAGTTTTCATTAGATAAGGTTCGCAGATTGTTGTTCCCACTCTGTGATACCGTTTGTCGTTGACCCTTTTCAGCTTCTAATTCCTAATCCGTTACACACTCGCATTTGACAGATAGCGTAGAATCAACTGCTTCTAGCTGTTGATTAATCTGCCACTTAGCATTTTTTCTGCCATCTCTGTCACATAAATGACGCTGTGAGGGGATAATGCATAAATCATCCTTGTTCGCTTGACCTTTAAAGTTACCGACGTCCCCCCTCACCGAAGTCTATTGACAAACTGGGTGAATTGCAGGCAAGCAAACCGAAATATTAGGTCTGGGATTGGAGGTTGACCGTCCAAACGACAGTTGCACACCCCGAAGATACTCGCAAGTAGTTAAATTTGTCGAATGTTGAAGTAGGGCCGCGTGATCACCTTGGTTTGAATGCGTTACTCACAATTACTCCTCATCGATACCAAAGTAAAAAGTGATCCGCCATATTGTTGACCCTCATTGTTGGTTGCAATATTCACGGCCGTTCCTGACTCTCACACGCATTTTTTTTACCGTAACTCAACGAACTGCGCAACAGTATGAAGGTTATCACTAGTCGAAAAAAATTTACTGTTGGCATGTGCGGAAAGCTAACATACCCTGATATTAATCCGTATTACAACCTTCTCACAAGCACTTCGGGTAACGAAACATCATCTTGGTGTTATGCCACAGAGAAATAATTGTCACCAACAGTCAATGGGGACAAAGGATGCAACGGAAAAGTCACGTTTAAGGCTTGTGGGATTATCACGTGGGAATGGAACTTCAGATGTTATTCAGAAAGCTTCGAGGGGCGAGATGGCCCAAGTGGTAGGAGCGCGAATTCACTGACCGGAAGGTCCGTGGTTCGAATCCGACCTCCGCCTCTCGACATCCCCTGTCTAGGCTTGGGTAACCTGGTAGTATCCCAGCCCTCGTGCTTCCTTCGGGTGGCAATGCAGCTAGACACTGAAAGGGTGCTACAGCTGAACGCAGAAAGCTTCGAAATCAACGCCTTTGGAACGGACGTCATTTTCCGTTGATGAGAACACAAGCCTTATTGAACCAGCACTTCTCATCGATTGTACTTACCAAATTCAATGACCATATTTCACCCCGATTTGCCGGGCGAACACCTTCAAGTGAGAATTGCTGAGCACAACAACCGATTGATTATCATTACGTCACGCAGCCCAGTTCATAAACTGAGGGACAAAACCAAAGGCATGAGAGGGTCTGACGGTGATAACCCGTTTCCCCTCACATTTACCACATCTATTGTTTGTAATCGTAAGTATGGCTGTCAGTAACCTGGCCCCGAAGTTTCGGATTTTAATGCCACTACAGTTGTTCACTACAGTATACTACAGTGTTCACTCTTATGTTGGCTCGTTTTAGAATGCATTCTAGTTAACCTCTTGAATCCATCCGTTTTGAGCAATCAGTTACTCCTAGCGTAAATAGCCTGAAGGGGTCCGGCACCCTACTGCCACCATCATTTTCGTTTATAGGTAAAACAGTCATCCAAGTAACTGGTATACAAAAATGAAATACCAGAATGCTTAATTTCTGGTGAAATACCTCAGTGGCATCTATTCCTCATTCTTCCAGGCTTGAAAGGGAGCAGGCTGAACTACAACAAGAGCAAGCACGTATTCGAGCTCGTATGGCTGCGTCGCAACAAACTAAACCTGTATCCCAACCCAAACACAATTCGTACCTGTCAGAAGCATCCAAAGCTCATCCTATGGATGTTCCTGCTTCCTCGTCTCAAGCAGGAACGGTTTCTTCTGCCGAACTACGACCGTCTGCCCAGACGCATTCCTATGTTCAACCCACAAAACCTGTGCGTTATGGACCACGGGTGCGTCACGATCCGCCTCCACAGCCACGTAAAGGCACCTTCAGTCGTCGAGATGTTTACTGACCAGCCATAGGTTCTATGCGGTCTACCTAATACTCTCCTGATACTCAGTGAAGAAAAGGTGTCGTCCGTTAGACTGTGCCTGCTTCGGTGACAGAATTCGGTATAAATCTTTATTTCTCTTGCCCCCATCCCTTCCTCTCCTCTGCTTTGCCAGCTCCTTCAGAATTTATTTTCCAACCCACTGTGCTACCCCCTCCCCAGTACTGTACCATAGATTCCTCATCAGATTTGTAAAAAGTTCTCTTCAAAATTGACCTTAGCACTGGTTGACTTGCTAGTTTATTTTTTACATGTAGCTTTTATCCGTATATCCACCTTGCGAACGCCATAGTTGATGTGGAGCCTTGAAAAAGCTCTTTTTTCCTTGGAGTCCTTAGGTCACTTCAGAAGGTTGCATCCTAAGCACTGATGTGGCTGTCTCTGTCTTCATTCAGCAGGCAAGGAATTCGAATACGATTCGGGTTAATTCTATTAGACATTTGCCTCCTCAAGACAGCGAAATTTCTAACCATCAGTCCTTGTTTCGGCTGCCGATGAAGTGAAAATATCCCATGCTATTCAATAAATAATCGTTTGCCCGTTAGATGGGTCGTACTGATACACAACAGAGCTTTCAATGATTCTTCATTAACCAGGCAGCAGAAAGCGGCCTGGTGGAGTATTGAAGCCCACATCCGAGATTTCCGGAATTTTTTCTCATAAGTTGTACGGGATGGTAGATCAGAACTCGCTGACAACAATGGATCTTTTTATACTTGTTTCAGGCTCAGAGGGTGGTCTCCGATGAGTTGACCCGGCGGCATTGGAGAGCCCTCCTCCACATAAGTGCCAACTGAGTGCGTATATTTCATTAGTTTTAGTTTTGCTTCTTACTCACGAGTCAGAATTTTACGATATCTTGGATGTCAATCTAACTGCACCCTCGCAAACCCTTTATGCCGTGGGATAAATAACTTCATGGCGATTTGTTAGTTATACGTTGGTTGGTGCCCGTGGACAGCTGGTTACTTGTTGGCTGACGCGAACTCAACCTGATGCGCGTGATTTGACCGAACTTCTCTCAACTTGCCCAGGTAGAACTGTGTCCATCCATCCCCCTTCAGCGACTCATTTTCACTGAATACCTTCGTCATGTGTTTGAAATAGTTAACAGGCAGAGAGGGAAATCAACCACCTCCCACTTCAATCAGCACTTGACGCTAAGAAAACCTGGACACTTGCCACCATATTCACACCAAAGTGAATTGTTCATTGCAACTAAACTATTCTTGGGACCAAGAATGAGGTAAGATGGTAGGCACACCACCATGGACTAATTCCCTACATCTGTGGCGTACATCCCCACTTTTATAAGAGTTGATTAAGGTATTAGGTTCTGGGTTTGTTGTCTGGCGGAAATTGTCACGTGCGGACTGAAACATTCCTGTTCCATTCAGCAGGGATTGAAGTTATATTAAAAGTTCATGCGCATGGTGATCGTTAAAACTGGCTAAATAAGGTCAATTTTTATAACTCCTGTATATTCTGTTAGCCTTCTGGTCGGAAAAGTCGGGCAAGGATCTCGTCTCTCTCGGTGTCCTCACCATCATCAAGCATTCATACAACCCATATCGAATGCATGTAAACCAGTTGCTTATACCTTTTTCTGTCGCATGCTTTCACACGGCCGGACATCATCGACAGCATAACATCAGTGTTCAACACAGATGCTTCATTGCCGCACGCCCATGGTTAATTCAAATGAACTACGTTGGGCTGAGGATACTCTTGAGCATGCGCGGAGTGAAGCAGCGCCTCTATGAGTGGTGTGATAACACCTGCCCTCCCCAATGCCGACCAAACTGTGATTAACATTTTGCTACAATTGCTTATCCCATTAAGTGTCAAAGAAACAGGTACTCGGGAAATAACAGATAGCGAGACATTCGCAACAGGAATAACCAACTGGTAACATATGGAATGGCGGTTCGTCCTTCTTACCACATCCTTGTTGTTCTGTACAATGTTCGAACTTGAAGGACTGCGATAACTTTCATCTACCAGTGTTTGTACGTGGTGCTCCGTGTGAATACTGTAGATAGGGATAGGTGTACGAGTTACTCTCATGGATGGGTTTCAAGCCAATGACTTGTCCAGCTGTCTCAGTTTATATCGCCCATGGGATTGATCTTCATGAACGTCCCCAGCGAAATTTGTTTGCCTAAGTGTGACGTTCCTGACGATCGTTTAGTTTTTCTAAATATCCAGTAAGCGAAAACAGCTCACAAGATGCTCTGTCAGATCGTCCACACAAACCCTTAACCTGTGCTTTGCGCAGGATTGCGTTGTAGGTAATCGTCGTAAACCTCGCACGACTGCTGGACCGAGAAGTTAAATAACAGTGGTTTGCGAATAAATTTATGGGATGAGTGTGCTTACAAAGTTAAGGATATTTGGAGTTATTGGTATCTTTGTGAACTACAGACCTTGCATCGCCCATACCTCTTGAACTTGAGTTATTCACGGTCCGACTCTGGTACTCAGGTTTTTTCACTGGGTGAATAATACACCTTATAAATCAGAATGTGTGACCATTGGGGTTGACACAAACTATCCTCAGGGCGATCAACGTAATCAGGGTAGGACCAAACTACCAAGGCCAGTACGACAATTACATGTGCTAAATGTATTCACTGGTACACCGATTTGGTTCTAACGGGAAAGAGCCTAATTACTTTTGTAATTTTCTTCAACTAAATATACTCTGTAGGGTTTATGTTTTTTCGGCTTTTCAGCAACCTTATGGGAATTTTTGCTTCACAAAATGTCACCGTCTCTTTAGATGGATTATACTACCCATAGGCGGTCTTACCGCACAATACATACAGCTACCTTCAGACAAGTGACTTGCGTGAGAGCAACGGCAACAGAACATCTCGCTCTGGTTAATTAGACGGTGCAAAAATCGGTCACTTTGATAAGTGAACTGCACCGTATGTACCGTTTGTAGTTACCGGTACTGTGTGGCGTTGAAAGGACTATGACAGCTCGTGTTGTTGGCTACCAATGCGTTTTGATTTACACACGTCCGACAGTGCAATACCTTACATCTTGGCTTTTTGAAATACTCAATAATAAGATAACGAAATACGTTCATTGGTACGCCATGCAATGAAGTCTTACGAGCACCAAAGAACCAGCGTAATAAACAAGCACAATCTCGGATAAAAATGCGTTCCAATGAGTAAAAACCAGTAAAATCGGTGAGTGGAACTAGTAAACAGACGCAATCCACTGACTACTGTGAAAATCTTGCACGCGGATGCGGCGTGTGCTGTGAGTGGATCAGATCACACATCTTGAGGTGCAGCATGTGATTCGAAAAAAAATGGTGCGTAGATTAGCATGAACATATAAGTATCGGCGAAGAATTTCACTTTCAAGGTGACCGGCTGATGTGAAAGAGCCAATTGCCGCTACTCTCTCAGCCTGAAAAAATTTCTATGGCCGTACTGGTCACATTTCTCCCTCTGGCTCCGGAATAGTGCGATAAGAACATTTGTGATCTCCTACTTATGTTTTTGAAGAGGAAGCTTGTAATTTGGGTGGTTAGTTGAGCACAATTTTGGGACCAACTTGAAGAAAACGCTAAAAACGAATACTTCAGATGTCGCGTTTAATCCGGCGTGGTCAGCGTTCCAACCTTTTATACGTCTTAATTCTGCTGTATCAGTCTTCGAGAAAGCAGACCCTGTATGATAGTTGGACGCTGAGTACTCAACTTTCCGATGCCATGTGACTGTCGGGTTACCGAAATTTTATCTCACATATGAGGGGTGTACTTGGTCCGAATGCCATACAAGACATTGAAAGTGTTTCTGCTACAGTGAACTACGCTTACGGTATCTCTGTCGCTTCCGAAATGCCGACCCACAAACGTCAATATAGGGAATAAATAGGAGCGCCACGTCGCTCATCGGTGTTTCGCGTGCAACGCAGCATAAATAGCAGTTGTGGAAATTTCTGGGGTCAACGCGCCCATGATTCAACCCAGGTTTTCGTTATTTAAACTTATGCGCTACTTAAGACGGAGAATTTCCCTCGACACTACTGGAGGAAGGAACTGACCACCTTCTGCCCCAAAAATGATTCGGCGTATCCTATCCATGATGCGATCGTCATGACGGGACTTTTCACCATGCACCATGCTATCTTATTCTTTTGTGACATCATCTAGGTGCACTCTCGCTACTACGGGGACATTTATTTATGCGAATCCTTGCGTTGGCAAGAATACTGCCCGCGCTGAGAACATAAAGAGCAGTGCTACGGACTTTTTCACTTGTGCCTTTCAGGCGAACGGCAGCCGCTAAACGACAAGAACAAAACCGACTCGAAAATCTTAGGCAGACGCCTCGATCATGTGCATCGATCCGTGAATCCATGTCCAGGTAGTTTACAGGCCTTCTCATTCTTGCTGGCTTCCAGAGGTGGGGGATACTTCCTTCTCTCGACAAATGCACAGCTCATCCGTGACATCTACCACGATCTATTGACCACTCTTTACCTTATATCTCCCTTAAAATGTTTTCACCCCGTATCTCTCACCACGGTAACTTACTAAAACCGTGGATACCAAACTGCACATATGAAAACAAGCCACCGTTCTGGACCTCGCTCGAAGAAACAAAAACGTCTTGTTCAAGTACATGAGACATCGCCGAAGAAAAGAGCCATCCGCGTTCTCATTGAGGGACAGAATCGGAGAATCGACGAATGACACAACAATGGTATCTCAGGTTTACAGAGAACACTATGCCTGTATATACTCAGCCCCAGCGTCTCCGCCACATCCACTATTGTCAGGGCGGAAATACGAACAGCTTCTAACCGAATTCGTCTTCACGGTGAAGGACATTCGTCAACTCTTGCAAAAGACCGACCCGATCTGTGCCCTGGGGCCCGATGAGGTCCGTCCAAGGATCTCGAAAGAAACGTCCCCCGAACGAGCAAATCATTTACACCTGGTGTTTCGTCAGTCGCTTGACGAACGCCGCCTTCCCTCTGGTTGGAAGGAAGCGATTGTCACGCCAATCTACAAAACTGCTGACCGGCTATCGCCTGAAACATGCATCAATAGCGTGTCGTGTAAGGTGATGGAACGCATTCTGAAGCGAGCTATCCTAGACCACATTCCATCCAGAAATCTGGTATCACTAGCTCAACAAGGATTTCTCCCACATCGCTCTTGATACAAACAGACTCTTGTAGATGGACAGCTTAACCAAGCCAAGGACGAACGACTCATATCGGATGCCATTTTTTGGGTTCTCCAAAGCATTTGATAGGGCCCCACAAGTCCCGCTGCTCCACAAACTTGAGTC